ACGCAATCTACCTCAGCGCTGAAAAGTACACGGACACTATCGCTAAACGATTCGGACTCACTCCAACCGTCATCTCCACGCCATACCGCTACACCGACGGAAACCGCAAAGTCTTCGCCCTACTCAAACCCGCCGGCATTCGCGACTACCGACGAAAGTTAGGCTGTCTACTCTTCGCAACCGTTACCTACCGACAAGATCTATCCTACTCAGCTAGTCAACTCGCTACCTACCTCAAGAAGCCCAAAGCAGAGCTCATGCTTGAACTCGATCAAGCACTTCACTACCTCGTCAGCACTCCGACGATTGGACTAACCTACAACAAGACCAGAACTACGACACCTAAGTTAATCGGCTACGTCGACGCCGATCACGCTGGAGATTCTGACAACAGACGTTCTCGAACTGGCTACGTCTACCGACTCGAACCTATCGGCCCTATCTCATGGCAATCTAACAAGCAAGAGCTAATCGCTCTCTCCTCAGCAGAAGCAGAATATATCGCACTCTGCTCGGTCACCAAGGAAGGACTATATCTTCGCGAATTGCTGGAGGAAGCAAAGTTGGCTCGGTTACCCAACTTCTCCCTCTTCTGCGACAACCAATCGGCCATTCGCATAGCGAACAAAAATGGGTTCGCAAATCGAACGAAGCACATCGCCCTCCGGTACTTCTTCGTAAAAGACGAAATCGAGAAGGGAAGACTCGAACTATCCTACTGTCCCACATCCGAGATGGCAGCCGATTACTTGACCAAGAAACTCAGAAAACCGAAGTTTGAATACTGCATGCTGCTGACTGGACAAGGACACGTCATCAACAGCGACACTCCAGAAGCGAAGGGGAGTGTTGGAAACAAATGACTTAAACGCTTCTGAAGTATCGACACGAAACGAAGCAGACTACAGTGAAGCAACACGAGTCAACAAAAGCAACCGCTGGAGGTTACGCGAAGGTCAAAGGTCGCTGACCTTTGACTCGACAAAAAATATAGTGCGACAGCAAGGACACATAACTGACTCGATACTGAGCAGTTACCCGAGTCGGCACTGTATCGAACCGCAACAACAAAACAGTTAAAGTGGAACTTTTCATATTCCTTTCTAATCATATAAAAACCTTGTATTTCTCTTCTATTATCAATTTGTCTTGTCCTCACACACCAGTACAAGGTGGTTTAGCAACTCTGATATTAAAACGCTTCCGCAACTACAACATTCCTACCTCAACCACAGATCTTAGCCTTGAAAGATCCTAAGGTCCTTTTTCAGCCCAACATGCTCATCACATGTCGCTACTCAACAGGGCCTCAGATTCACTTTTAGGGTCGTATACCCTTCAGGGTCCCCTTGTGTGTAAACTCTGATTGACAGTGTTCCTAAAAAAAAAAGCCTGAAATGACAGTGTTGTGCTAAAAAAGAGACTGATCCATCAGGGTTCCACTAGTAAAAAAGCTGAAACTATTATAAAGTCTTGATTTAAAATTCAGGAGTACAGTAGCTTCCTAGAAAATAGCAGCTGCTCTTATCTAATAGGATTCATGCATGTATCAGCATCAGAATCAGACTCATCATCACTCCCCTGCGCCTTTGGTTCTTCCCACTCCTCAGGTGCCTCCTTTCCCCTGCCACTTCCCTCCCCCTCTCTTGCTGGAGGTGCTGCCACATTGCCAAATGGCCGGCGCTTCTTGTAGCTGCGCCAGATTTTCACAAGTTCGTTGTAGTCAGGCTCATAGTCGAGGAGCGACATCGTGACGAGATCTTCAAGCCGAGCGTCTTTGAGGCTCCCACGCTGCCACGATTTGATTATATTCTGGCGGGAAAACCCGCGCTCACATTCCACTGTGCTCAGCGGCAGCACTGCAACAGCCACCCAGAGACGCACGAGGTTGGGGTAGCTAGTCGTCCAATCGCTTGTCTTCAGCATCGCTATTAGCCCGGCGTGGAAGCTTTGCTCGTTTTTCGGGGCACCTGCGAGGATGGGGCAAAAGGCACGCAGTTCTTTCATCGCCCGCAGTTTGTCGATCCCTGCCACACAAAACAGAAGGGAGATTGTGAGTTAGATTGGGTGGCTTGGCATGGTATACCCGTGTATGCATGGCACTGTTGAAACATAGGAACAAAGAAAATCATGGACAATGGTGCACAAAATGCGAGTACCTGGAAGGATGTGGTCAATCTCCTGTGCCCTGAACAGCAAGACGAGTGACATGAGCCACTCGACACACTGTTTGTGGCGCTCCGCTCTCCCAGGCGGGTACTCGTCTGGCATGAAGAGCCTCACTCCCACCAGGTTGTCCAAGTCTTCAAACCTCTTGCTGAGGTTACTGACGAGCGTCTTGGCAAATGCTGTACAGAGATCGACGCAGGCGTCGTGTGTTCCCAGAGTTGGGTAGTCCTCGCTTGGGTTCTCATGCAGTTGGAACTTGTGTGTAGTCGGCCGACCGTCAGATTCCACACCCTCCACCGTCACCTCGGGCTTGTCACTGTCAGGCCCGTACTTCAAGATGAACGGGGACAGGCGCGCACTCAACCCGCCTCCAAAATCGTCGCCGCAGTCGACGTAGCGGGTCTCCAGGTGAGACATGGTTCTCTTGATCTGCGCATGGACACCTGCGATGTCAAGCCATGAGAGGGCGACAGAAATAACACAGAGGGACACAAGGAAAGCGAGCCGGGGGGGTGATTTATCAGACAATATGTGTTGTGCTTAAGCTCCCACAATATAAATGCACATGAGCCAATGTTAGTGCTTACACAAAAGGTAAACAAAAGCAACATCACGAACAATATCTGACAGCGGGTACTCACGTTGTGTAATAGGTTCCGTATCCCTTCGCGGGGAATCCCGGAGCCTTCTTCGCCGCGAGATAGCAAACAAGATGCACCCATAACTCGATGGGTGCATCTTGCTTGGTTACGAAGAGCAGAGAGTCGCACAGCGCGATGACGCGTTCCTTCTCGGTGTCGCGAGCGAGGTTGTCACCGTTGATCCGTGGCTGCCGGCCAGCTTCAGCAAGAAGCTTTTCCTGGTGCTAGATCGCCTCTTTGTGCTTCGTTGTTGCAGCATGCCTCTTGAAAGCCTGCGTCTGTACGTCCGACGTGCCCCTCCCGCCCTTCCCGCACTTTCCAGAGTAACCTGCATGCTCGGTACAGATAGAGCACTTGAAATCTGGGAGACCGTCAGATTGCCGCAAAAGAATGAGCCACGGAAACATGTCTAGCCACTCGGTCTTGTACTTATACAGAGACTCAGCATAAATCGCGTCGCGTCCTGACTGCTTAGAAGGACCAGGAACCGATGGCGGCTCCTGTGGGCCAGCAATCACGGGCGACGACCGTTGGTCGGCTGGCGAAGGTAGCTCCGTCGTCAGCGCCCGTTGTAAACCATGGCAGCGTTGACTGCATGTATCGGCTGGATTTCTTGGTCACGGGTTCGGGAGCCAGTTTTTCAGCTGGAGGCGGCGAGCTGTCCTGCTCCGTGACTGGCGCTGTCGGGGATGCACACCAACCCTCCTCTTCGATGTGTTCGAACGGGATTTTGTCGGGCGGCTCGGGATCTGGTGGCTTCTCGTTGTCGTTGACTTCGGCTATGCTCGAAAACAATAAATCGAGGCCCGTAACTACTTCAGAACTGACTACAGGCGGCTGGCGATGCGCCTGACCGCCGTGTTCGCCGTTTGTTTCCATGCCGTCAAGGTGTTCCACCATGGTAAGCAGCGGGGACGGCCTCACATCTAAGCTAGCGACAACGAGAGGGATTGTTTCCAGAAAAACCACAGGCCACGGCTGGCTACCTCTTGGTGGTACACTAGGAAGAAAGGGGGAAACCCAGCTTCGGATGCAAAGCTTGGAGAAGAAGGGGCCCTTGGATGGCAACCACGGTGCATGGGCTGGGTTGTCAACGGGGCAGGAACGTTGGCAGCCCTCCAGCACCACATGGTGGCCACTGGCCACGTTCGGATTGGCCAAGAAAAGATGCTGCAGCAAAACGGCCCAATGATGTGTGGCGCCGCGCCAACAAAGCACTTCTCAATCGTGAATTTGAGGCAAAATTTCACAGGTTCGTCTCGCCCCGCGGTGCCTACACCACAGGAATCTGAGATTCCCTGTAATTGCGGTCAAATCCACACGACACAGGTAAGAATCGCTTTCAGTGTTAGTTTCGTTTCAACGTTGTGGCATCAGTGTACTTGGAAAAAAAAAAACTGAACTTTCAGTGTGGCCTCACAAAAAAGGCTGAAAGATCAGTCCCACAAAAATCTTACCGTCATACCCCGGATATACCCCCATGGGGGGCAATAATAAAACAGGTTTTTTCAGGGGGGTGGGCTTATAATCGAGTAAATTTATAAGCGCCGGCGTTTATAAAATGACATATATATTTTTTCTATTTTTTAACACCAAACTGTAGATCTCGTGCTTGCCTTTCCAATCGAGTCGAAGTTACATGGGGTCGTCTGTGAAATTCTCGCGCGCGCTGGGAGATACACCCAATCTGACTCACATCCAGCTCCTGACAGCTCCTGACAGCTCCTGCTGACTGGACCCGCATCCAGTGCAGGGTCCGAATGTGAAGGGAACCGAATCTGCAACACATCCGCCTGCTGAAGTAAAAATCGTTACAGCATTTTGAACACATTTCAAAAAATAAAGTTTACGTGCGCTTATAATAAAACAAGTTTTTTCAGGGGGTGCGCTTATAATCGAGCAGCGGATATAAGCGCCATGCGCCAATTAAAAGCGCCAGGCGCTTATCCGAGGGTGGCGCTTATATCCGGGGTATGACGGTAACACTGGTTTTTCAGGGTAGGTTGAGAATGGACTGCCAAAATCAGGAATTTCAGGGTTTTTTTCCTGAGATCTGAGGCCCTGCTACTCAATGTCCAAGTAGATGTAAATTTGATAAGAGACAATTATTGTGCATTTCTCATCTGAGTAACACACCATAACTGGTGCCAGTGTACTCAATACAAGCCATCAAAGGCCCCACCAGTGGCATCAGAAGAAGCTGTCGGGCACCTCATGTACGGGCAGCCCGCGATCGCTGCGGGTCATGATGCGGCGAGCCAGCCCCACCTGCCCGCCCTGCACGAACACATACACCGTGCCCGTGCCGCCCGCTCCCCTGGCGGTGCGGCCCACGCGGCGGACGTACTCACTGGGGTCGCGTGGGAAGTCAAAGAGCACCACTCGGTCCACGTCGATGCTGTCTATGCCGCGCGACGCCCTGCCATGCACCGTGAGCGAGGGGGGGAGGCGGGGGGGAGGGAGGGGGGAGATATGACAGAGGATGGGGAGAAGATGAGGGGGCAGGGTTGTGCAGGCCCCGCACCAGGAATGGCACTCCAAAGTGCCCACACTGAACACCAGAGAGAGGTAGAGAGTGGCAGCGAGAGATAGGGAGAGGCTGAGAGAGATAGAGAGAGATGGAGAGAGGCAGAAAATGCTACTCAGAGGCAGTACCGGTCAGTGCAGACGAGGATGAGGGGCAGGGGCGGGTTGGGCGCGAGCAGCTGCTCCAAGGCCTGGCGGCGCGCATCGGGGGCGATGCCTGCGTGACACACGAGCACCCTGTAGCGGCGCTGCTGGCGGTCCGCCCTCACCAGCACGTTCTCCACCCAGCGACACGTCTCTATCTGATGGCCCCGCCCCCAGGCACCCACGCACCGGCACACTCACAACCATGCACCCACGCACCGGCATGCACCCAAGTGATCACACATGCACGCACACAACACACCAACAGACATAAACTCACACGTGCAGTGGACACACACACACACACACACACACACACACACACACACACACACACACATACTAACACCATTTACTCACAGGCACATGCGCACACATCAGCAGGCAGAGAGAGAGAAAGAGAACGAATGGTGTGAGGGCAAGGAATGAATGATGTGAGGGCAAGGAATGAATGATGTGAGGGCAAGGAATGCATGATGTGAGGGCAAGGAATGAATGATGTGAGGGCAAGGAATGAATGATGTGAGGGCAAGGAATGAATGATGTGAGGGCAAGGAATGAATGATGTGAGGGCAAGGAATGAATGATGTGAGGGCAAGGAATGAATGATGTGAGGGCAAGGAATGAATGATGTGAGGGCAAGGAATGAATGATGTGAGGGCAAGGAATGAATGATGTGAGGGCAAGGAATGAATGATGTGAGGGCAAGGAATGAATGATGTGAGGGCAAGGAATGAATGATGTGAGGGCAAGGAATGAATGATGTGAGGGCAAGGAATGAATGATGTGAGGGCAAGGAATGAATGATGTGAGGGCAAGGAATGAATGATGTGAGGGCAAGGAATGAATGATGTGAGGGCAAGGAAGGAATGATGTGAGGGCAAGGAATGAATGATGTGAGGGCAAGGAATGATGTGAGGGCAAGGAATGAATGATGTGAGGGCAAGGAATGAATGATGTGAGGGCAAGGAATGAATGATGTGAGGGCAAGGAATGAATGATGTGAGGGCAAGGAATGAATGATGTGAGGGCAAGGAATGAATGGTGTGAGGGCAAGGAATGAATGATGTGAGGGCAAGGAATGAATTATGTGAGGGCAAGGAATGAATGATGTGAGGGCAAGGAAGGAATGATGTGAGGGCAAGGAAGGAATGATGTGAGGGCAAGGAAGGAATGATGTGAGGGCAAGGAATGAATGATGTGAGGGCAAGGAATGAATGATGTGAGGGCAAGGAATGAATGATGTGAGGGCAAGGAATGAATGATGTGAGGGCAAGGAATGAATGATGTAAGGGCAAGGAATGAATGATGTGAGGGCAAGGAATGAATGGTGTGAGGGCAAGGAATGAATGGTGTGAGGGCAAGGAATGAATGATGTGAGGACAAGGAATGAATGATGTGAGGGCAAGGAATTAATGATGTGAGGGCAAGGAATGAATGATGTGAGGGCAAGGAATGAATGATGTGAGGGCAAGGAAGGAATGATGTTAGGGCAAGGAATGAATGATGTGAGGGCAAGGAATGAATGATGTGAGGGCAAGGAATGAATGGTGTGAGGGCAAGGAATGAATGATGTGAGGACAAGGAATGAATGGTGTGAGGGCAAGGAATGAATGATGTGAGGGCAAGGAATGAATGATGTGAGGGCAAGGAATGAATGATGTGAGGGCAAGGAATGAATGGTGTGAGGGCAAGGAATGAATGATGTGAGGGCAAGGAATGAATGGTGTGAGGGCAAGGAATGAATGATGTGAGGGCAAGGAATGAATGATGTGAGGGCAAGGAATGAATGATGTGAGGGCAAGGAATGAATGATGTGAGGGCAAGGAATGAATGATGTGAGGGCAAGGAATGAATGGTGTGAGGGCAAGGAATGAATGATGTGAGGGCAAGGAATGAATGATGTGAGGGCAAGGAATGAATGATGTGAGGGCAAGGAATGAATGATGTGAGGGCAAGGAAGGAATGATGTGAGGGCAAGGAATGAATGGTGTGAGGGCAAGGAATGAATGATGTGAGGGCAAGGAATGAATGATGTGAGGGCAAGGAATGAATGATGTGAGGGCAAGGAATGAATGATGTGAGGGCAAGGAATGAATGGTGTGAGGGCAAGGAATGAATGATGTGAGGGCAAGGAATGAATGATGTGAGGGCAAGGAATGAATGGTAATCAATCAGGCTGAAGAAAGTGCAACGAGGATTAGCCACAGGTGCCAAGGCAATGGAGCAGAGTGCAAGAAGGAGCAGAGAAGCACACCTTGTTGCAGAAAACAATCGTCTTCTTTGACCCAACGCTGCTCTCCTCGCCTTCTCTCACTGCGCCCACACTCCCCTCCCCCTCCTCTCCCTCCGCGTCTCCCCTGCGCCTGCCCCTGCTCGCCCCCACAATCTGCAGCAGCGCCGCCCGCTTGCGTGCAAAGCCGCCCTCCTCCGAGCGCTGCTCGCCCTCCGCCTGCGAGCAGTCCACCAGCACCTAGGGGGGGGGGGGAGGGAGGGGGAACGGGAGGGGGGGTTGGAGAGGGTGCTTCGAGCAAGCCTCTTGCAGCGGAATGCAGTGGTGGGCATTGTGGTGCTGTGACTGGCGAGTGGTGGGCATGGTGGTGCTGTGACTGGCGAGTGGGCACAGCAGGCAGTGCAGTGAGGAGCGATAGCGGTGACCGGCAAGCGGCACGTGGTGACTGGTGGACCCACGGAGGCCCCAAGTGCAGGCATGGCATGGCATGGCAGGGAGCGCACCTCGTGCAGGCCGGAGGAGGTGAGGTGCAGCGAGGGGCCGATGAGGGAGACGGCGGTGGGGTACTCCGCCAGCAGCTGCTCGTGCACGTCCGCTGGCAGCGTGGCCGTGACGTGCACCACCTGGCACGCGCGCGAGCACCCCATGCGGATGGGCTTGAGGGCGGCACTGAAGTCGTCGTCGTCAAACATGATGTCCGCCTCGTCCACCACCACACTGCACCACATGCACACCGCATGCACACCGCATGCACACCGCATGCACACCGCATGCACACCGCATGCACACCCCATGCACACCGCATGCACACCCCATGCACACCACATGCACACCGCATGCACACCGCATGCACACCGCATGCACACCGCATGCACACCGCATGCACACGATGACAGGGGGTTGGGTTGTGGAGGTGCGCTAGTGGCATCAGGCGCATGACAATACTAACAGTGGCCTCTCCTTCCTTGTGATGCCTTGTAGCATGCTCTCACCACGTGACATGGTCCAGCAGCATGCTCTCACCACGTGACATCGTCCAGCAGCATGGAGCCGGCATCGAGGTGCTGCAGCACGCGGCCTGGCGTGCCCACCACCACGTCCACCCCGCCCGCCAGCGCCTCCACCTGCGTGCGCCACCGGTGCCCGCCCGTCACCGCCACCGACCGCACCCTCATGCCACCCGCTGACAGCTGCCGCGCCACGCGCACCACCTGGAGGTGTGGCATAGATCATTGCGCATGGATGCTGTTCAATACTTTATCGTCTCTGTGACCATTTGACATGTGACATCACACGCGCCTCGTCGTGATTCGATTTGACATGTGACATCACACGCACCCCATTGTGATTGGATTTATCAGTTCTTTCCACAGCTGATGAAGAACCCATGCCTTCACAAAGCTTGAGTGTGTGATGTCTCTGATTTTGGATTCCCCCATTCTCTAATGCTTGTACTTCCTTCAACTTTGACATGCTGTTTACTCAACGCCTTCGTGTGTGCCTCACAACTAGCTCGACGTAAGCTCTCAAGCTGATGAATCGTGAGCAGCAAGGGAGGAGATGTAATAGAACAACGTGAATGGCCAGACACACCACAGACAACAACGTGCCACCCGTGTGTCTGCCTGCCATGCGCCAACCAGGTGTTTCCCATGTGCTTGCCAGCGCCAGTAGCATGGCGATAAGTGATAACATGGATTGACGCACTAGCAAGGAACAAAGTGCCCCCGGTGCACACACCCTCGCCCCCCTGCCATGCCCACCTGGTTCGCCAGCTCAGTGGTGGGCACACCTGGTTCGCCAGCTCAGTGGTGGGCACACCTGGTTCGCCAGCTCAGTGGTGGGCACACCTGGTTCGCCAGCTAAGTGGTGGGCACACCTGGTTCGCCAGCTCAGTGGTGGGCACACCTGGTTCGCCAGCTCAGTGGTGGGCACACCTGGTTCGCCAGCTCAGTGGTGGGCACCAACACAATCGCCGCCGGTCGCTTTGGTGCTGCTCCCATGCGCGCACCGCCCACACGCCCTCCTCCCACCCCCTCCCCTCCCTCCCCCTCCCCACTGCCCCCCTCGCTCCCCCGCGCGCGTTCAAGCTCGTGGGCCTTGAGGCGCTGCAGCAGCGGCAGCAGGTAGGCGAGCGTCTTGCCGGTGCCCGTCTGGTCCGCCATGATGCAGTCCGCCCCGCGCAACACGTACGGGAACGCTGCTGCCTGCCCTCGTGCACCCGTGCGACGAGGGAGGGGGGCGTAAGGTTGGGGTTGCAGGGAAAGGTAGCAGCAGGGAGGGATGCAGGCAACGCATGAAGGATGGCGGTAGAATAAGGGCGAGGAGGGGAGAAGGAAGGAGGCGTTGATTCGGTGGGTGCCCCCCAACACACACGGCAAGGCAGCGCGCTTGCACGAGTTGCATGCTCCACACCCCAACGGGCTTGTGCGCTACCCAGTCCACCCCACACACCGCATTCCATTCCACTGCACACACCGAATTCCACCACACACAATTAATTCCACTGCACACAATTAATTCCACCGCACACAATTAATTCCACCGCACACAATTAATTCCACCGCACACAATTAATTCCACCGCACACAATTCATTCCACCGCACACAATTCATTCCACCGCACACAATTCATTCCACCGCACACAATTCATTCCACCGCACACAATTCATTCCACCGCACACAATTCATTCCACCGCACACAATTAATTCCACCACACACAATTAATTCCACTGCACACGATTAATTCCACCTCACACAATTAATTCCACCGCACACAATTAATTCCACCGCACACAATTAATTCCACCGCACACAATTAATTCCACCGCACACAATTAATTCCACCGCACACAGTTAATTCCACCGCACACAATTCATTCCACCGCACACAATTAATTCCACCGCACACAATTCATTCCACCGCACACAATTCATTCCACCGCACACAATTAATTCCACCGCACACAATTCATTCCACCGCACACAATTCATTCCACCGCACACAATTCATTCCACCGCACACAATTAATTCCACCACACACAATTAATTCCACCGCACACGATTAATTCCACCTCACACAATTAATTCCACCGCACACAATTAATTCCACCGCACACAATTCATTCCACCGCACACAATTCATTCCACCGCACACAACACAACCCACAACACCCACCTGGATGTGTGAGGGGCGGGTGATGCCAAGCGCCTGGAGGGCTGTGAGGGCGGCGGGGGAGGCGGCGAGTTGGGCGAAGGAGGTGCGGCTGAAGAACTGGTCCGCCAGCGCCGGGTCGTAGTTGTCCCGCTGGGATGGGGCCACCACCGCCGCCGCTGCCCTGCCCGTGCCAGACCCCTCAGATGCCTTGCCTGCTGCTGCTGCTGCATCCCGCCCGCCACCCTCCTTGCTCGCCTGCTTCCCCTTCTCCCCTTTCTCTGCCTTGCCCCCACCTCGCCCCTCGTCGCCCTCCCTGCCCCGTGGCACCACCTGTCGGCGCAGGGCGTCCAGCACGCTGGGGCCCTCGCTCACCCCACCTGCTGCACCACCCTCCTGCTGCCGCCTGCCAGCCCTGCCGTGCACGCTCGCCCCCCATGCACCATCGTCGTCCAGCTCAATGATGCCCTCAAATGGTGCCTCCATGCCCTCAAATGGTGCCTCCATGCCCTCAAATGGTGCCTCCATGCCGTACCGCGCCCACTCCGTGCCACGAACCCACTCCCCTCCCTCCTCCTCCTCTTCCTCCTCCTGCTGTTTCCTCCCTGCCCCACGCATCTCCTCCGCGCCCTGCCACCCTGCCGCGACCCCTCCCCGTGCGCCCTCGCCCCGCTGCTGCTGCGCACTACCAGAGCTGCCAGCGCCCACACCCACCCCACCCAGCCTCTGCCTGCTGTCACCAGCATTGCTCAAGGCCGCCACGTCAGCACGTGGTGTTGCCACCTGCGGGCTCCGCGCTGACAGGTTGGCATCCTCACCACCCTCCCCCCCCTTGCCTGCCTGGCTACGCCCAAAGTCCCGCCCGAACAGCCGCACGCCCCTCACCCGCCTGCTGCCCGCCCCCTCCTCGCCCCTCCTCCCTGCCCTCATGCCCTCTCGCCCATCCGCCTCATCCTCTTCCCCCAAACCTCCCCCCTGCCCCCGCATTTCCACCTCCACCTCCTCCCCCTCCTCCCCCTCCTCCCCCTCTGTGTCCGACTCGTCCCCGCGCTCTGTCCCTCTCCCCTCCCGTCCCCTCCCCTCATCTCCCTCCATCACCCTCGCCCTCCCAAAAGCCCCCCCTTCCTCCCCCTCTCCCTCCCACTCGTCCCCCTCCGCCCCCTCGTCCCCCTCCTCGTCCCCCACGTACCGGTCGCCGTCCATCACGGACCACCACCGCGCGTCGCTCACCACGCCTGACCGCACGCGGCGCGCGCGCGCCCACACGAGGTCGCGCGGGGAGAGCGCGGGGGGGCGGCCCTCGACGCCCACCACGAGCACGCCGTCCGCCGCGCCGTCCGCCTTGGGGTCGGGCAGCACGAACGAACCCGACGGCAACTCCTCCTCCGCGCCCTCCTCGCTCCCCCACCGCCCCTCTCCTCGCCTTCCCCACGCCCCCGTTCCGCCCGCCTGCCCACCCCGTCCCCTCCCGCGCTCGCCTGCGCCTCTTCCCCCTCGGCCCCACGACGCGGACGATCCCGCCCTACCTCTTCACCCTCGGCTCCGAGCGTCCCAGGATCCGCCACCGCGCCCGCCGCCCCGCCCCCTTTCCGCGCGACCGCCGTCCGCGCGCCATGCGCCCCTGCCATCCCTCCCCTCCAGCCCTCGCTCGCGCGCGCTCTCCGCTCCCCCGCCCCATTGCCTTCCCCAATCCCCTCCCTCACCGCGCGATCCCTCCCGCCGCCCTGCGCCCTCCCTGTCCCTTAAACCTCCGCTGTCCCCTTCGCCAGCCCCCCATCCTGCGCTACCGCCTCGCCGTCCCCCTCTCTCCCATCCGCCAACCGACCGTCCCCCACCTCGCCGTCCCCTGTCGGACCACCCTCCGCCGTTTCCGCCTGCCTCTCTGCGCCCCTCCGCACTCTGCCCCCACTGATCCGCGCCCGGTCCCGCACTGCTCCTGCTTTCGCCCCGCGCTGAGATCCCTCCCCGTATTAAGCTGCGCCAGTTGCCCGACTGCGCTCGGCCTGCAACGGAGCGAAACCCGCTAGCACGGCCTGCGGACTCTCCCCGTGCCCATTCCGCCCTCGACGCGCTGGGCGCTTCGCTTACCCAAGGTCCCAACAGTGAGGACGGGTTGCGGCGCTGTCCTGAGTCGCCCGATAGAACGCGGAGGCAGCAAGGTGGTTGGTCGAGTGAGAGTGGTGAGGCGAAAGTGGCTGCGGAGAGGAAGTGGGCGGACATGGTCACTGGTAAATGAAGGATGATGTGCGAGGGAAGTAGTGTATTGGTGGTTATTAGATTAAAAAAAAAGGCAAAGACGATCCACCATCCGTTGTAGTCTAGTCGGTCAGGATATTCGGCTCTCACCCGAAAGACCCGGGTTCAAGTCCCGGCAACGGAATACTTTCGAAACTAGATTTGTGTACGCATCTCGGCTGATGACATCTAATCTTTCTATCCCTCCAGAAAGGGGACCATTTTACTCGTCCGGTATTCTCGCTGCGCACTGAGTACACCTCCGTGTTTGTCTCTCACCCACCCGTTGCTCCTGTGTGGCACCGCCGCCTAGGTCACCCCTCCTTCCCGCGTCTCCTTCACATGGTAGTAGTGGAAGGGTATATCCCCTACACCACGGTGTTCCCGTTGCAGCCGGAAGTCCAACGTGCCTGACTCTCTTCTCCCCATGGATTGTGGCCGTCCGCACCCAGCGAAGCCGTCCTGTGCTTGGTTTACACTTTGACCAGGGTGGTGAGTTCACCTCCGGTGGGGTGGAGCAGTTCTGTAGCGAGTTGGGGATGCACAAGTCGTTTACGCAGCCGGACTCGACGCAGCGGAATGGGATCGCTGAGTGGCGCATCGGTTTGATCATGGAGATCGATCGTACCTCCATGATTCATACCAGTGCAACCCATTTTATATGGCCCTTGGCAGTCAGCTACGTTGCACATCAGCTTAACATGTGGCCCCGTTCCTCACACCCACAGGTTTCGTCGACGATCCTCTTTACTGGATCCCCTGCGCCTGCATCTGTGTTCCGCGTCTTTGGCTGTCTTGCTCACAGGGCTGACAAGCTCCCAGCTCACACTGTCTCCTGTGTCTTCCTTGGTTTCCCCCTACTGTTATAGTACGCCGTTCATTGTGCCTAATTTTCACTCATTCCTATTTTATATTTTATTCGCTCAGCTCGTTTTCCCATTCGTTTACTTCCCTATTTCATATTTCGGTTATATTCACCAAATATGATTTTGTGCACCGGATTTTACAGTTTTCTAGATTTTTCTCTCGTCACCCATCGTGTGCGTTATTATTCACCGAATGACTCTACCGAATACAGGAAGCCTCTACTCCCACTGGATATAGTAACACCCAGGCTACCTGCCTTGTATCGTGCCTACATATAGCAAAGTGGTTATACCCAAGTTCATTTAGGCGTGAGCAGGCGGCTTGACCCGACCCAATTCGGCCCGAACCAATTCGGCCCGACCCGACTTGGCCGGGCCAGCCAAGTTCTCAGGTCAGGTCGGATCAGGGAAACCCGCCCCACTTAGGGGGCATGTTTGTGTATAAGCTTTAGAGCCTGTGTATTTCTTTTTGTGATATAATTTGTGACACACTATATTACTTATAATTACTGCAGCATTTTTAGTTTTGTTGTTTAGGGAAGGCAAAGTGAAGAAACATTAAGTTTGATAGACAACTGATATCTACCACCATTCATATAAGTCACAAATAAAGATAAGTGCAATGATCAAGAAATAACTTTGGTAAATTTATAAGGGTACTCTACCAATCACCAATCACAAGCCCAACATCTCTGCCTCAAGGCATAACTTTGCCTTTGTGGTCGTAGTGCCCCGGATCGGCAACGTCTTCCCAGGATGAAGCATATGCCACGACTTGGTCATCATGGCAGCACACATCTGGCTCACACTCAGTCGGTGCATCTGCCACATGACAACGTTTCTGTTTTGGCTGAATGCGCGCTCACTCGCCGCAGACGTGGCGGGTATTTTAAGATAATCGCGTGCCATGGCCCCAAGTCCCGGCAGCTAAGTCTCCCTACCCCGCCAGTACACTAAGGAGCTCCCAACATCCTGCCTCGCGTTTGCCAAATACTGGTCCACCTCGTCCTGTACATGCGCCCTCTCCTTTGCTTCCATGGCTGCCATCTCCGGCCATAGCTCCGCCTCCGAATCGCGCCCACAACCTCCCCCAACCGCCCCCCTGGCTGCTGCCCCCACCGCCAATGCATGCCCCACCGCTCTCCTCGCACTCGTAACCTCACCTCCCGGTCGTGCATCTGCCGCCACAGTCGCCGCTGTCTGGTACTGTGGAAGGCGCCTCGTACCAGCACCTTCACCCTCTCAGCATCCAGCAGGAGTGTGGCCCCCCTAGCTAGGTCTTAGGAACCTAGTTACTTAGATAGGTAGGGGGAATGATGAGATTAGGTCAAAAGGAGGGGTACAAGCAAAGTGTTGAGAGATAGTCAGTACCCCCTAACAAGCAACTCACTACAGCCTATCCAAGAATACAAATATAGTTTGACACTAGGCCCCTCTCCTCCACCACCACAGGCGCGCTACTCCTCGCCCCCTGAGTTCTGAGATTGAAGGGGGGATGTCTTGTAGCGCAGATCGAGGAAGGTGGCAATCGCCGCCTCCTTGCTCACACCCCCCATGTGCCTCTCCTGGTTGCTCGTCGCCGCTAGGATCAGCGATGAGCGCAACGTGGAGATCCCTGCCTCGAGAAGATCTTCCTCAAGAAGATCCAACAGCTTGTTGTACTAGGGTACAACAGCTGCCACAGTAGGGTACATAGAACCCTCCACGAAGAGAGTGACAGCGCGAAAGGGTCGGAGGAAATCACGCAACTCGATGAGAGCGGACCAATGAGCATCGAACAGTTGGATCTTATCCCATGCCTCGCGTGTGGCATAGGGGATGGAAACATGAGAGGGATTGGAAAATGAGCGTGAATGCGAGAAATATAATGAGTTTAACAACATTAGAGCAAATAAGGGTGTAGCCACCCTTCATTACAAGCACAATCAACACTCCACATTCATTATAAGCACATTCCACATGCATGCCACCCCTCGAGCCCATTCAAGGCACCACAACGCCTTGAGCATACATGCCTGACCACCGTTCACTATAAGCACATTCCACATGCATGCAACCTTTCGAGCCCATTTAAGGCCCCACAACACCTTGTGCACACATGCATGACCACCGTTCACTGTAAGCACATTCCACATGCATGCAACCTCTCGAGCCCATTCAAGGCCCCACAACACCTTGAGCATACATGCATGACGACCACTCATTGCAAGCACATTCCACATGCATGCAACCCCTCGAGCCCATTCAAGGCCCCACAACACCTTGAGCATATATGCATGACCTCAATTCATTATAATCAAATTCCACATCCATGCAACCCCACGAGCCCTCTACTCACGTCATTGTCATCGAAGAACATCCTGAGACGCATGCAGAAATCCAACCGCCTCAGCTCCATCTCCAGCGTGGATCCCCATCGGGTAAGTGAGTCGATGATAAGGCGCAAGCCCGCAGATACTCGGCTCGTCCTGGCTCCCTGTGCAGCCTCCTGTTGCGACGCCGTCTAGCTCGTAGAATACCGGCACTGCATGTCAAAGAACCGCTGTGAACGCTGCATGGACCATCCAATGTGGCTGGCCAACTCTCGCGGCCTTCGGAGCTGCTCCTTGACCGCCTCAACCTCGAGTGCATGCTCCACTGCTAGGTTGAGGATATGGTACTTGTCCTGTCCTTGCACACCTTCTCAGCATCCAAGCTCGCTTTTGCACCTGGTTAGCCGCTAAGAGGGTTGGGCTCTATCTGGCGAGCATATAAGGCATGAGGCTTGTGTTTTAAAGGAGACAGTCTGCCAGCCTCACAAGGCACGCTGACGTGTTCTGGGTGGCCGACGCTGAGTCTCGGAGGTCTTCACTGGGCTACTATTATCTCGTGGAGGTCGACTCGCGCGTCTTCAGTTGCTCTGTCTAGCTGTGAGGCTGAGATCTATGCCGGTGGTATGTCTGCGCAGGAGCTCCGCTGGCTGTCCTTCTTGCTCACTGACTTAGGTGAGCTGCCTCACTCCGCCTTGGTCCTGCTCGCTGACAACAGGGCTAGGATCCTCCTGTGTCAGGAGCTGAGACAGAAGGGCAAGGCGAAGCACATCAAGCTGCGGTACTTCTTCTAGTGGGAGTTGCAGCAACGCGGCTAGGCAACCTGTGGCCTCAGAGGCCAACACTGCTGATTTCTTCACCAAGGCACTGCTGTGATCATTATTGGTTATGCACACAACTTGGTTTAGTTACAGGAGGTCATCACTTGCTAGTTTCTTGATCTTTGTTGCTTGCTTTGTCTGTAGATCTGGTTATATATTTCTGTGAAATCATTGACAGGACTAGTAGTGTCGCCCTATTGCTTGCTGCTGCTGTTGTTGTTGTTGTTGTTGTTGTTGTTGTTGTTGTTGTTGTTGTTGTTGTTGTTGTTGTTGTTGTTGTTGTCAGAAGAATGAACAAGAATGAATGAACTATGAAAGAGTTGGATACAAGTACTAACCCTAATTGGGTTGTACCCCTTATGGGCTACCCCACTATAGCCTACACAAATGTAAGCACTATAACATTCTAGCACACACCCATAGGCAAAGTGGGGGAGAACAAGTGGTCACAAGACCAGTCAAGAAAGCAAAGCAAGCTTAGGGTATATCACAAAGTCACCACACAGTCCGAGCACAAGCAAAGGCCACAAGACCAGTTCACATGCAGAGTTATATAAAAGAGAAAAAACAATACAGTGATCATACCCTAGCAAGTTCAAGCATGCAGGTATAGATATAGATCACAGTACAAGCAAAGTCACGCAGTGAGCAAGAGAAGCAAAGTAGGCACAAGGCCTAACACTGTAGAGAAGCGCTGATGATCACCAGGCGGAAGTGCCTTGGTGAATACATCAGTAGTGTCGGCCCTAGTGGCCATGTACGCAAGACGAAGCTGGCCACGCTGCTGCAACTCTCGAGCAAGGAAGTATCGCAGAACAATGTGCTTCATTCCGTGCTCCAATCTGTGCTCCTGACACAAGGCAATCATGGCCTTGTTGTCTACGTACAGAATTGGAGGAGAACGAGGCTGCTCTCCCAAGTCGGTCAGCAGGTAGGTGAGCCAGCGTAACTCCTGTGCAGCCATGGCCCCTGCGTAGATCTCAGCCTCA